GCCCCCTGAGCGACAGACACCAGGTGAGCGGCCGCGGGGCGCTGCTGCCGGGAGGGGCGCGGGCTGGAGACGTGGGGGGGGCCCTTCCTGGGCGGGGGAGGGGAGGCCTGCGATTCCAGGGACATAAGGGAAAGGAAGTTCCGGGACCCTCCCTGCTCGCGTGCCCACCTCCGCTTCCTGCCTCGTGTCTCACCTTGTCCCCCAGTGCCTGGACTCCCCCCAACCGCTAGGGACATGTGACTTTTGCCCTGGAGGGCCTGACTGTGCAGGCCCCAGCCTTCACTCGGCTTCACTTCGGGGGGGGTGGGCCTGGGCCTCGCCCCCCCCCCGCAGCTCCCCCGCCCAGGCCCAGCTCCTGGACTGCACCCTGCACAGGTGGGCACCTGCAGCAGCCCCACCTGTGCCTGGGCACTGGCCCTCCCTCCTGCAGGGCGCGCACCATGGCCCCGCCGCTCCTCCTGCTGTTGCTGGCCAGTGGAGCGGCTGCCTGCCCGCTGCCCTGCGTCTGCCAGAACCTGTCGGAGTCCCTCAGTACCCTGTGTGCCCACCGAGGCCTGCTCTTCGTGCCGCCCAACGTGGACCGGCGCACAGTGGAGCTACGCCTGGCAGACAACTTCATCCAGGCCCTGGGCCCGCCAGACTTTCGGAACATGACCGGGCTGGTGGACCTGACACTGTCTCGCAACGCCATAACCCGCATCGGTGCCCGCGCCTTTGGGGACCTGGAGAGCCTGCGCTCCCTGCACCTGGACGGTAACCGGCTGGTGGAGCTGGGTGCCGGCAGCCTGCGCGGTCCCGCCAACCTGCAGCACCTCATTCTCAGCGGCAACCAGCTGGGCCGCATCGCGCCAGGCGCCTTCGACGACTTCTTGGAGAGCCTCGAGGACCTGGACCTGTCCTACAACAACCTGCGGCAGGTGCCCTGGGCTGGCATCGGGGCCATGCCCGCCCTGCACACGCTCAACCTGGACCACAACCTCATCGACGCGCTGCCCCCGGGAGCCTTCGCCCAGCTCGGCCAGCTCTCCCGCCTTGACCTCACCTCCAACCGCCTGGCCACGCTGGCGCCCGACCCGCTCTTCTCGCGCGGCCGCGACGCCGAGGCCTCGCCCTCGCCGCTGGTGCTCAGCTTCAGCGGGAACCCGCTGCACTGCAACTGTGAGCTGCTGTGGCTGCGGCGCCTGGCGCGGCCCGACGACCTGGAGACGTGCGCCTCGCCGCCCGGCCTCGCCGGACGCTACTTCTGGGCAGTGCCCGAGGGCGAGTTCTCCTGCGAGCCGCCCCTCATCGCCCGCCACACGCAGCGCCTCTGGGTGCTGGAGGGCCAGCGGGCCACGCTGCGGTGTCGGGCACTGGGGGACCCAGCGCCCACCATGCACTGGGTGGGCCCCGATGACCGGCTGGTTGGCAACTCCTCCCGGGCACGGGCCTTCCCCAACGGGACCCTGGAGCTCGGGGTGACGAGTGCAGGGGACGCAGGGGCCTACACCTGCATCGCCACCAACCCTGCTGGTGAGGCCACGGCCCGAGTGGAGCTGCGGGTCCTGGCGCTGCCACACGGTGGCAATGGCAGTGCGGACGGTGGCCGCCCGGGACCCTCGGACATTGCTGCCTCGGCTCGCACTGCTGCGGAGGGGGAGGGCACGCAAGAGACCGAAGCAGCCGTCCAGGTGACCGAGGTGACCGCCACCTCAGGACTGGTGAGCTGGGGGCCTGGCCGGCCTGCGGAGCCGGTGTGGATGTTCCAAATCCAGTACAACAGCAGTGAAGACGAGACCCTCATCTACCGGTGAGGACCCTGCAGTCTGCGTCCGGTCACCTCCCCGCCTCCTGACACGCAGGCGCAGGGCCAGCACCAGGCAGCGCTACCTGGCCACCTGGGGTGTTGGGGCCGCAGGGTGCCCAGGGAGGGACAGCTTACACCACCAGGGCCTCCTGCCCAGTCCCTTCCCGAGCTGATCTGGGGGTGTGCTCCCGCCGTGGGCCTGGGTGCCTCCCCTCCAGGCCAGCGTGGGATCCATGTGCACGCTGCCCCCATCCTGTCCCCTTCCTCCACCCTCCTCGAGTGAACCCCTGAAGGAAGTCCAGGAGCAAGGGGCCCGAGCCCCGACCTGCTCTGACTGCCCTCCCGTCCTCAGGATCGTCCCGGCCTCCAGCCGCCACTTCCTGCTGAAGCACCTGGTCCCGGGAGCAGACTACGACCTCTGCCTGCTGGCCCTGTCCCCAGCTGCAGGGCCTTCCGACCTCACGGCCACCAGGCTGCTGGGCTGTGCCCACTTCTCCACACTGCCATCCACACCCTTGTGCCACGCGCTGCAGGCCCACGTGCTGGGCGGGACCCTGACTGTGGCCGTGGGGGGCGTGCTGGTGGCTGCCTTACTGGTCTTCACTGTGGCCTTGCTGGTTCGGGGCCGGGGGGCCGGGAATGGCCGTCTGCCCCTCAAGCTCAGCCACGTCCAATCTCAGACCAATGGAGGCCCCAGCCCCACGCCCAAGAGCCATCCACCGCGCAGCCCCCCACCGCGCCCCCAGCGCAGCTGCTCTCTGGACCTGGGCGACACTGGCGGGTGCTATGGTTATGCCCGGCGCCTGGGAGGGGCCTGGGCTCGGCGGAGCCACTCTGTGCATGGGGGGCTGCTTGGGGCAGGGTGCCGGGGGGTGGGGGGCAGTGCGGAGCGCCTGGAGGAGAGTGTGGTGTGAGGGGTGGGGTGGCAAGGGGCACCCCTGTGCCCCAGTTTTCTAGGAACTGGGCCGAGTGAGGGCCCAAGGCAGGCAGGCCCCTGGTAAGTACCCGTTGCCTGGCACCCTCCAGGTTTTATTCTCCGTACCTCAGGCTCCCCTTCACCTTTGGCCGGACGGGGCGCCTGCCCCTCGGTCCTGGCCCGCAGATGGGCAGGGAGCAGTTCCTCGGACAGGTGCTCGCAGCCACGAGGCAGGAGTCTTGATTTGATTTCTAATAAAATGTTGGGGACACCTCGGTGCTGGTCTCTGTCTCATGTTTAGCTTCCTGGGGGAAGCAGGGGGAGAAATCACAGGTCCACAGCCCAAACCTGGGGCAGGTAGTAGCCTGGGCACCTCGGGGGACAATTGCGGGTCAGGGGTCATGTCTGCTGGCCACACGTGGACCTGGGAAGCTTCCTGGGCTCCGTGCTGGCCCTGACCAGACATCACAGAGGAGGTGCAGGGGTGGAGAGGGCGTGGGGCCCACTGGGCACCCAGCCAGGGGTTGTCACTGGTCCCAAAGCACCTCATCTGCCTCAGTGACGAGGAGGTGGCAGATCGACAGCCCTCTTGGACATAAGAGATCTGGCCGCGTCTTCTCAGCTCAACCCAGTAAACATCACCCAGCTCCTGCTGGCACCCACTTCCTGGGCTCGGAGAATGGCTGCGCACTGGGATGGAAAAGGGCTGGGAAGCCTGGAAGGTTCCAGTCGATATGCAGGGCTTTACAAGGGAGGCTTAGCAGGCCTCTGGCCTTGCGCAGGGACTTCCCAGAAAGATGGCCAGCGGGGCCCTCTTTGGGACACTGGCAGCTGATACCACTGGTACAAGCGGGCTTGGCCACAATCCTACCCCAGAAGTGACAGCCTTCTGGTGAGTCCAGGTCCCTGCCAGACCCCAAACTGGAGGCCTGACCTCTGCCAGGACGCCCGGTTGGTCCCTGCCAGCCCTCAGCCAGCTCAGCCTCTGCCAGGACCCCAGGTCAGTCCCCTGCCTGTCCCCACCTAGCTCAGCCTCTGCAGGACCCCAGGTCCCCACCTCGGTATGACCTCTCTGCTGGACCCCTAGCTGGTCCCTGCAGCCCCAGAACAGTCTCCTGACTCCCGACAGGGAGAAACCAGCAATCCCTAACCGCATGCTCATGTAACCGCTTACATGCTAGATGTGCAGTACCTGGGCCCACTGCACAGCGGACTGGGCACCCAGGGGCTGGCCATGCCAGGTGGGCAGCCTCGATGCATGGGAGGTGTTACCGCGAGGCCCATGGGGCAGCACAGGACACCAGGCTGCGCGCGGGAGCTCGGAGGTGCAGGTGCCCGTGTTCCGCCCGTGCGCACTCGTGAGTTCACAGCATCACACACGTGCACCCGCCCTCCCGCCCGGAGCACGTACCTGGAGCTGCCCATGGTCCTGCGCTAGTGAGTGAGGGCCCAGGCGGAGACCGCAGATGGAGAGAGGGGCGGGGGCGCAGGACAGAGGTCAGGGGATACCCCATCCAGGGGAGCAGGGACCAGAGATCTGGCCCAGGGTCATCTGGGGAGAAGACACTGTGTCCCTAGAAACGTGTGTCCTGCTGCAGCCCCTCCTCCTTGGGATCCCCAGACATGGGCCTGGGTGGGGAGGGGTCAGGTGGAAGGTTCTGGGCACAGCCACACAGCAGGAGCCTCAGGCCAGGCCTGTGACCCACTGTCCCCCACGCCCTGGGCAGACAGCCCACCTGGCATTGACACAGTCTCAGGACACTCAGTGGGGACAGTGAGTCCTCGAGAGCCCAGGGCAGGCCAAGCATAGGTTCATGGGGTCTGTACCCACCGGCTCTGCTGTGGACAAGGCCACCACTCTGTGGGCACAGGCTGCAAGGCCTTCCTGCCTTTCCCAAAAGGCATCCACTCCCGGGGCAGCTCCAGGGACAGGCCAGTGGGGTGGTGGTGGGCAGGAGCCGTGGCCATCCTGCCCTGTGCACATGTGGGGCCTGCCCAGCAGCTGGCCCTCGCAGGGTAGGGGGCGGGCTCCTGGCTCCCCTTGTCCTGCCTGCATATCCAGCAGTGGCACCAAGCCCGGGGATGGTCACCAGCTGCAGGGACACGTGCTGGCTCCAGAGGACAAGAGAGCCTCCCGGCTGTGCCTCCAAACCCAGCTCTGGACCCCAGAGGAGTCCAGCAGAGGCCCCTGCAGACAGGCAAGCCCCGCTGAGTGCCCGTCCCTAAGTGTGCCCCAGGCCAGGTGGCGGGGTGGCAGGACCAGCAGGAGGGTCTGAGCCAGTGTGTGACCTCCCCACAAGGGATCGTGGCCAGCCAGCCCTTCCTCGAGCACATGGGTTCGGAGCACCCAGAAGGCAGGACTAGCACATGTGGGTCACTCACTGGAGTGACCGATACCTGAAGGGAGGGACACAGTCGGCCCAGAAGAGCCTTAGTGCCACAGGACCCTGCAAACTTCATCTCTGAGAAAGAAGCCTGGTGCCCAGGCGACGTCCAGGGCGCCGAGGGGCCGCAGCCACACCTCCGGCCGTGGGGACAGCCATTGACCAGCACAGCTAAAGCTGGGCAGGGACCTGCTGGGCCGTGGTGGGAAGTGGCCCGCACACCTACCTTCACTCCACGGACGCGGAACTCGGCCAGAGCCCTGCTCATCTTGGTGGCCGCAGTTTGGTGGTCTTTGCCATGGGCGATGACCTTGACTAGGAGGGAGTCGTAGTGTGGGGAGATGATGGCGCCCTGGAAGGCAGAGGCGTTGTCCAGGCGGATGCCCATGCCCTCTCCGCTCCGGAACACCTGCCGGAAGAGGCCGTGGCATCAGCTCAGGCAGGGCGGCCGGGACCCGGCTTGACGGCGCGGGCACCACAACCACGGTCTGCCTGCCTTGTGCCAGAAACCCGCACCCTCTGCTCACATCACTGCCTCCCCCTCCCCCCGAAGCATCCAAGGGTTCATCCACTCATTCCCCAGCCTCCGGCCTGTCCACTAGGAGCCGGCACAGGGAAGGAGCTCGAGTCCCCGTCAGGCAGTGGCATTCACTTGCTGTTTATGTTTGGAGCATGTGGGAGAGAGGAGGCCTCGGTGGCCACCCACTTCCCCTTCTTTCCAAAAGGGAGAGGAAGGAGGGAGGAGGTGAACAGACACGGAAATGAGGAAATATTAGGAGTTCAGTAACGGACGTGATTCAGTGCGAGGAGGGAAGCAGAGCCGATGCATGTATGTGCTCCCCCAGAACGAGCGACAAACAGAAACGGGGGAGAGAACGAGCCAGTGAGGGGGGCCTGGAGGGGCTGAAGGCTTCCAGGTTGATGAGGAACGATGCCTGGTGCAGGAGGGTTCAGGGACTCACGAGGGCATGCGCGCGCGCGTGCGCGCACACACACACACACACACACACACGCCTAGCACATGCATTTATGTGTACGTACACACACGTAACCCTAGCATGTGCACACACACTCCTAGACCCCAGCATGTGATAAATGTGTATACACACATCTGCAGATGATGCCTGGGGTCGAGTGGGGCTTAGGGAGTGACTGGATCACCCCAGCATGTGCATGTACACATATTCCCTCTATCCCTCACACACACACACACACACACACACACACACACACACACACACACACACACACACTTACTTCCAGAGCAGAACGCAGGGCATTACAGCACACACATCACATGCATGCTGTGTACACACACTCACATTGGGTACCCGTGCCTGTACACACACACAATCAGGCGTACACACAAACCTTGATGGCAGGCAGCGGGAGGCAGGGGCCACTCCAGAACATGTACACTGGGACACACACACATGCACACACACGGCAGGCAGCTCCAGCACTCGCACGCGCACACACACACACACAAATCCACATGTGCCCTGTATGTACACATGGCACACACACACACATGCACACACACGGCAGGCAGCTCCAGCACACACAAATGCACACACATGCATGTGAGCACAAATCTGCCCTCGTGCCCTATCGCGGGCAAATCCAGCAGGTGCAGGGGCACAACCGGCAGGCGGTTCCAGCAGGTCCAGGTATATGTGCCCCTGCACACACGTGTGCACATGCCCTCACCGCGGGGTCCGCGAGTACACACATGCACACACAGCTAACTGTGCACACACGTGTCTATATACCAGCAGCAGGTAGGTCCACCATGTACACACGTGTGTGCACACACCCAGGGTGGTGCCTTCCGCTTGCTCACACGCGTGCACAGTGCAGACAGTTCCAAGCCTGTTGTGTGCACTACACACACACACACACCCAAGCAACGGTGGACCACACCCAGGATGGGGGGAGTGAATGGAGGGTCCACGCAGGGAAGCAGGGGCATGGGACAGATGCCTGAGGGGTCGGGACACCCACTGCCCCACGTTTCCGTTTCTGAGGGGCACAGCCTGTAGTCAGTAGAGAGGAACTTAATAAAATATTTAAGGATGAACACTCAGCCGTGAGCAGGAACTGTCAGCTAAAAATACTCTGTGGTGAGCCAGGCGCTGCGGAGCCGGCCTCGCTGAGGAGGGGCAGCCACGCGGCGACGTGAGCCCCGCAGCCCCGCAGGCCGAGGTCAGAGGAGTCAGGGCCTGCTGGACCCAGGCCGCCGCCGGCCAAGATTTCTCCAGAATCTGAACCCAGCTGTCGGCTCCCTCCTCAGGTGTCACTGCCATGCACAGAGCGCCCGCCCAGCCGCACCCTCACTGGCATCCCTGCCTCAGGAGCCCAGACTCGTCTCCAGCCCTCCGGGCCTGGTCACTTGGCCCTCCCGCCTGAGCTCCCCCCCAGGGTCCTGCCTTTGGGGCTCAGGCCAGACGGGCAGGTGCTGAGCCAGCAGCACAGGACCTGGACGCCTCCTGGGCCAGTGGGAGGGTCAGGCGCCTGAGCACGGTTCAGGGGCTACAGGAGAGACCGAGGCCCAGCCCCATGGGAAGAGACGCTGGATGCCCGGCCCAGCACTCGGCAGTCCCTCCCGGCTTAGTGTGGCCACCTCCGGGCACAGGCAGCTCTGAGGCCTGTCTGTCCCCTCCCTGTCCCCGGCATCGCTGCCATCCCATTCCTTCTGGTCACTCCCAGCTCACTTCTCCAGCATTGTGCTCCAATCCCCCCCCGCACCCTCTCAGCCCTGCTTTTGCCAGCTGCCCTCCACGGGATGCCGGGACAGCTGCAGGCCCCGGTCTCCCGTGCGGAAGCCAGGCTGAGGCAATGGCGCTGTCTCAGGCCTGCCGTCCCCCGCTCCTGAGTGGCTGGCTTTCCCATGTTCCCTCGGGAAGGTTCCTCTTTGTTCCCAAATACTGGCTGCCTCCACATGCCAAGTCAGCCCCAGACACACCCCTGGGCCCTGGCCACTGCCACGGGGGTCTGGGTGCTTCAGCCTGGGCACTGCCTGGCCTTTGAGAACCTGTACCCCGGGAGGCTGCCCACCTCAATGCGGCCAGTGTCGGGCTGGAAGCCGCGTGCGGGGTCCTCTGTGGTGACTCGGCACTGGATGGCACAGCCGTTGATACGAATGTTCTCCTGTCGCAGGCCCAAGTCCGGCAGGCTCCTGCCCTCGGCCACGTGGATCTGAGCGTGGACCAAGTCCACACTGCAAGAGAGAGGGGGACAGGGTGAGGGGCTGAAAGGTGTGGAAGCAGAGGCACCTCCAGACTCAGAGTCTGAGTGCCACCCCCACCCACCTCACAGGAGCCCCCTTTCCTGCTGACCACAATCTCCCACATCCCAGAAGACTCTTCCCCGTTGTCCTCCACCCCTGCACCTCCCAGCCCCTCCCCTCCTGTCCTTCACCCCTGCACCTCCCAGCCCCTCCCCTCCTATCCTTCACCCCTGCACCTCACAGACCCTCCCCTCCTGTCCTTCACCCCTGCACCTCCCATCCCCCTCCTGTCCTTCGCCCCTGCACCTTCCAGGCCCCTCCCCTCCTGTCCTTCACCCCTGCACCTCCCAGGCCCCTCCCCTCCTGTCCTTCACCCCTGCACCTCCCAGGCCCCTCCCCTCCTGTCCTTCACCCCTGCACCCCCCAGCCCCCTCCTCTGTTGTCACAGGAGTGACAGGGACTGCAGAGTAAATGACAGAGGGCCCAGCACAACCAGCAGGTCAGCAAACACATGGGGCCCCAACTGCTCTCACCCTACCCACCTTGGCACGTCTAGGGGCCTTGGGCCTCCTCCCTGGGACTCACCCCACCCTCACCCACCTCGTCCAGGCTCTGCCCTCACAGCGCCTTGTCAAGGCTGTTCTGAAGGCGACAGTGTGTGCGCATCTTCAGAACAAGCTGGGGGGCCTCGTCCGCTCAGTTCCCGCTCCTCTTGGTGAGGACTCCCAAGTACAAGGTCCTGAAAAGGACCTGCTCTCCCAGCTCGGCCCTGCCTGCCGCTCCAATGAGGACAGTTACCCACCGGGAACAGCTGCTGAAACACCACAGCCCTCAGGGGTTTCGGGAAGCCGTGGGGAAGGTGGCAGACTCTGCCAGTCCACACTGCCTCTGACTCACTTCTTCAGGACACTGGAGACTGTGCCCCACCCATGCCGCCCTCGGCCATGAGCCCAGCTCTGACCAGAGGCAGGGGCACAGGAGGACAATGCAGATCACCTGAGACACAGAGTCCCCCCTATTGTGACACCTCTAACAAGTCAAGATGGGGCCCTTAAAGCAGAGTGACACAGGGAAGACCCAAGGTCATGGGCTACCACCTCCACTCAGACCTGAGAGAGCGGAGACCTGGGGCCCCACACACCTCTGGGAGAGGCTAAGACAGCCCCCCTGCTGGACTTGGGGGCTGGGGTCTGTGGTCAGAGGGAGTGGCCCAAAGCCAGGACTTAACACATACATGATTCAGGATGTGCTCGGAACAAGTGGACTGAAAATGGAAGGTCTCTCGCTACTGTTCTTTGTAAAACAGGCGGATTTCTCAAAACAACAAAGACCTACCTGGGTGTGGTCTCCTCCGACCCCATGACCTACTTTGAGGTGTCCTCCTGCGCTCCACAGGGACCCCGCACCTTCTTCCCCCCCCAGCTCAGCCCCGCCTGATGCCTCAGCCTCTCCTCCACCAGGGTAACCCTGAAGGGCATGTAAGAAATCCCCCTCCACCCTTCTGGACCCCCAGAGACGACCTTTGAGAGATCAGCGGAACACCCAGAGATTCCAGCCTCCAGAAGCCGGCAGAAAAGGAGCAAACCGGCAACTGGGGTAGGACAAGCAATAAACAGCAAGGGTCTCATCAGACACGATTCATGACGCCAGGCGATGCCACTGTTCTAAAACATCACATCTGTGAATGGTTGACTAAAACCCAATTGTGATTTGTAAACTTTCACTCAAAAAAAAAACCCCATGGCTACGGTGCACCTGACCCAACCCACGGTATTTCAGCTTCAAAAATCAAAACAAACCAACAAGGGCAGTAACCAGTCCCTCAGGGCACACGGGGCGGGCACAGGGTGAAACAGACTTGACACAAGCACCACCAGAGTGGGGAGACGCACAAGGCGCGGAGAGACACACGGGGTGGGGAAATGCAGAAACAAGTATGAAAGCAGGAAAAAAATCCTTTGTCAAAAGTTCAATTTTATAGAAGTAGCTAAATAGCAAAATGAAGAAATGCAGGATGACAAGGAGGCATGGCAGACGGGGCACAGTGGAAGGAGAGGCCGGCGAAGCCCACCCGGCTGTGTGGCCTTAGGAAACTCTTAACCTCTCGGAGCCTCAGTTTGCTCATCTGAACAATGGGAGGATGGGCAATTCCCACTTTTCACTACCGTGAGAGCCCCAGGGAACCCACACGGGGCTCAAGCCCGGAGCCTGGCCCTCCTCACGGGGTGGACCAGGGCCCTCCTCGCAGGGTGGACCAGGGATCTGCACCGACTTCCTTGTGACGGTGGCACGCTCTCCTGAGAATGTACTGAACAGAACGCCTAGCCCCCCGCCCAACCCAAGACCCCCGCATGCCACCAGACATCAGCTCTCCTCCGCTGCAGCCTGCAGGCCTATCCCTGTCCCAGACCTGGTCCCCACACTCACTCCGTGATCTCTTCGGTGACCGTGTGCTCCACCTGCAGCCGGGAGTTGACCTCGATGAAGTAATGTTTGCCGTGTTTGTCCACCAGAAACTCCACAGTGCCCGCGTTCTCATAGCCCACCTAGAGGGAGAACCAGTCGGGGTGCAGAAGGGTCAAGTGGGGCATAGAGAGGCCAGATGGGTGTGGAAGGGTCAGAGGGCATGCAGTCGGCAGGGGCTCTATCTGCACTCAGGAAGCAACCCCAAATCAGCTGACTGATGGCCAGCCCTCCCTGAGAGATGACAGGAGGACCTCCTGCCTGCCTCACCTCCTTCACAACAGAGGCCAGGAACCCAGAGCCCCTCATGCGTACCCCACCCCCAGCTCAAGCTGTCCGCACCAGGCCTCAGCCTCTCCTGCACCAATGGAGGGGCGTGGAGAGTCCTCTGCTGTGTTCCACCCCCTCTGTACCCCCAAGAGCCCACACTTCAGAGCAGTCAGCAGACACCCCTGATTCCAGATCATTTCTGGTCCTGTCTAAACAACAGGCAAGGCCTGAATCACCCCCTAAACATGCTGGAATGAGACATGGCCTTCACTGGGGAGGGGTCAACCGCAGGACAAGACTGCTGTCGTGACGGAAGGAAGCCCGACTCCCACCCAGGCCCGCTCAGGCCTCATGCTCATTGCTGCCAGAGCCCAGAGGCAGAGCTTCTGCGAGACAGGGGACAGTGTGGGGGTGCCCACCAGCAGTGTCCACCACCACTGCACGCCAGCTGCCTGAGGGGGCAGAGGACAAGGCCAAGGAAGAGGGTGTGAGCGTGCCTGGTGCTGGGGACAGAAAAGAAGGCTGAGCAACAAGGCAGCCTGGTTCCAAGCAGAGCCCAGCACAGAGGCAGGACCTACGGCCTGATCCTGGGGTGGCGGCCGTGTCATGCCTAGTCAGGTCGTTCCACCCAGTGAGGAAGGGCCAATGACGGACAGAGGAGGGCAGCCAGGAGTGAGGACGATGCTTGATTATGTCCCTGTCCCTACAGAACCCACAGACTATGCCCGTTAGTCAATTCATGCCCCAAACAAGGTGAGGGAAGTTCCACCACGCTTGCCTCGAAGGAGCTGAACTTCCTCCAAGAGTGAACTGGGTTTGGGCGTCCGCAGGATATTCAGGACTCTTTCACCACCACAACCTGAAGGCTTTTGATTCTTCTGCCATCTTTATTTGTTGTCCACTTTCAGATGTATGGGAAGCAACTGAAAAGACCATGCATGCCCTGAACCAGGTGCACCCTAATCTCTAAACTGATATCCTTGCTCTATAAAATTTTGGAGAGGTTCTTGACTTTTCCCAGTGCAGCACATCTTTTGATTTCTTGACTGATGATTGTGGGCACAAGTAAAATAAAATCATTAACAACTTTCATGTTTCTCCGTCATGATGTTGTCTATTGGTTCAGTGGTGAGTTCTACCTTCTTGATGTTGAGATGTAACGCATAGTGGGGGCTATACTCTTTGGTCTTATACAGTAAGCTTCAAGTCTCCTCTACGTACTGCAAGCAGGGTTGTGTTATCTGTGTTGATGAGTCTTCCTCCGGTTCTGATGCCACCTCCTTCTCAGCAGAACCCACCAACTCTACCGACCGAGCCTATGAACTAGTCCTGTTTGCAGAGAACCCATTGACTACATCCTTCTGTGGACAGAAGCTCCTATGTCGTTTTATCAGCAGTTCACTGGCCACACCCCATTTCACAGAGCCCCCGACTATGTCCTTATATTGACTGTCCCTCCTCTTGTCCTGGGCTGCAGGCGCTGGGCAGGATGCCATCTGTGCCAGTGGGTGAGGGGTGGCTTATTTCTCTCCCTCTTCTCAGTGATCTGGACACTTGGAGGGGCCTGGGGGTCAAGCACGCCTGCTAGAGCCCGGAGAGGAGCCAAGGACCCTGCTGCCGTCCTGCCCTCCTGCCCTGAGGCCAGCTGTATTTGGCCTTCCTGCCTCCAGCCACTGCCCATACTATGACAGGAGCCTGTGCTGGCTGAAGGTCCCTGTCTCCCCGTGGAACCTGCCTGTCAACCCCCGACCCCCTCACCTGCTTAGCAAGCTTGACGGAGTCACTGGTGAGCCGGGATCGGAGCTGGGGGTCCAGGTGGGCAGCAGGCGCGATTTCCACCACCTTCTGGTGCCGCCGCTGGATGGAGCAGTCTCGCTCATACAGGTGTAGGATGTTCCCGTACTGGTCACCTGGGGGTAGGAGACAGGCTGGAACCCACCTGCTTCCCATGGGGTCTGGTGGCACAGTGCTCAAGTGCTTGGCTGTTAACTGAAAGGCAGGTGTTCAAAGCCTCTGGTGGCTCTGTGCGAGAAAGACCTGGACATCTGCTCTGGCAGGGCAGTGGCCAGGAAACGCTGGTGGGCAGTTCTGTGCTGGAGCTGACACCACAGCCACGGCACCAAACAGAGCAAACACCTCCTACCCTCCCCGAGATGGTCACCCCCTCTCACAGGCTCACGTCCTCGAAGATGTCACCACCCCTGAGACGGTCACCTCCAAGAAGCTCACCTCCCCTGAGATGGTCACCCCCTCTGAGATGCTGACCCCCCCTGAGATGGTCACTCTCCCCGGGGACAGGGAGGCACAGGAATTCGGCCGGACACTCGGCCTGGCCCCTGAGAGTCCCCCTGCCTGGGGTGCCCCAGACACACCCTGGACTGTCCCTAAGACAGCCTGGAACCCAAAGAGGCCGAGGTGTGCCCTTCCTCCCTCCGTCACCCAGGGCCTCCACCCTGGAACCTTGGCCACTCACCCAAGATCTGCACCTCGATGTGACGTGGCTTCTCAATGAACTTCTCTACAAACAGTGCCCCGTTCCCGAAGGCGGCCAGGGCCTCTGAGTAGGCCCTTGTGTAGTTTTCCTCCAGTTCCTGGGGGCCACAGTCCACATCTCCCTTAACCCATAGCTCCAGGGCTTCCCTGACCTGTCTACCTCTGCTCTGCAGTGACATGACCCCCAGACCTCTCAGCTCCAGGTCTCCCCTCAGCTGTGACCCCAGAGCTTCCCCACATGTCCCCTCTGCTCTGCAGTAGTGTAACCCTCAACCCTCCGAGCTCTGGCCCCCGGCCATGGCCCCAGACTGGCTCTGCTCTGTGGCTCTATGACCCTCTGCCCTCCACTGTCCAGGCCCCTAAGCTGACCCCTGGCCTGGCTTCTGCTCACCTCGTAGCTGTGGACGACCCTCATGCCACGCCCCCCGCCCCCGTAGGCGGCCTTGAAGATGATGGGGAAGCCATAGGTGTTGGAGAACTCATGGGCCTCGTGGAGGGAGGTGATGGGGGCGTCTGTGCCTGGGACCACAGGGACACCTGGGAGAGATACAGAGGGGTTGCTAAATGGGCTGAAATCCCTGCAAACTGGCCCAGGACACAAACCGCAGGCACTGAGTGTTCCCCGGGTGCCAGCAGCCACACACCACGCTCACCTGCAGCGATGGCAATGGCCCGGGCCTCCACCTTGTCACCCATCTTGCGCACCACCTCGGGGCTAGGCCCAATGAACCGGACCCCGGCATCGTGGCAGGCCTGGGCGAAGTCCGCTCGCTCGGACAGGAACCCGTAGCCAGGGTGCACCGCGTCCACGTCGTTCTCCTGGGATGGAAGAGGGGGTTCAGGGTGACCAAAAACCAGACCAGCAGCCATCACGTCACAGAGCCAGGATCCACGGCTGTGACTGTGGGGGCTGATCACCAGGCCTTTCTTCCACGGCACCTCCAGGAGGAGTCAGAGTGCTGACCAAAGGCCCAGCAGCTAGCTGAGGAGCACTTAAACGTCTGCACCACCCAGGAGCTCTGGCCGCTGCACTCTCCTCCACACACACCCTGGACAAACACTGGGGCCTGTCGGAGTGGCTCCGTGCAGTCACACCAACATGGGGCATAGCACAGGGGACAGAAGGACACCAGTTGTAGTGCCTGTCCTCAGAAACCCCCAGCAGACACAGTGCCGGTGAGTAGCAACAGCACCTCCAGCTTCACCCTGTCCCCCACGCGCCCACCTTGGCTTCCACAGGTTCCCCCAACCCCCACGGGCTCACCTCGGCCCCCACGGGCCCACCCTGGCCCCCACGGGCTCACCTCGGCCCCCACGGGCCCACCCTGGCCCCCACGGGCTCACCTCGGCCCCCACGGGCCCACCCCGGCCCCCATGGGCTCACCTTGGCCACCTTGATGATGTCTGGGATATGCAGGTAAGCCTGCACTGGGGCGAGGCCACGGCCGATCAGGTAGGCCTCGTCTGCCTTCTGCCGGTGCATCTGGCCCGTGTCCTGCTCCGAGTAGATGGCCACTGTGCGGATGCCCAGCTCCGTGCAGGCCCGGAACACGCGGATGGCGATCTCACCTGAGGGCGGGCGGGAGACGATGAACTCCTCGGACGGAGGAGACAGGTGGGCAGGCTACCGCGTCCTGCACACTTGCTCGGGGGTGCTCACCTCGGTTGGCCACCATGACCTTCTTGATGGGCTTGTACTCCAGGCGCCGGACATTTGGGGAGGCAGCGGGGATAGTGGAGGCGCGGCGGACACTCAGGAGCCTCAGGCCCCCGCTGACCACACGGAACTTCAGCATCTGGGAGGGAGGCAGGGTGCAGCTCAGTGCACTCAGCACCGAAAGGGGGGTCACCTTCCCCATGGAAGGCCAGGGCTGTCCCTCACCCCAGCTCCCAGCCAGCATCCCCTCCAGAAGCTGAGTGGCCAGAAGTTTGGGTGAAGTCACCCTCATGGGATCACCCACCGTTGGCCCCACTCTCCCCCAGGAACAATAAGTGGGGGCACTGCACGCTCAGAGCCTGGGGTCAGGGTCTGGGTGGTACACGTGGGGCCACCCGACCCCTCACTCCTTGACCCCTCAATATCCTCTGCGGGCACCCCACTGTGGGCACCCCAGGACTCACATGGCCCAGGCTGGCCAGTCTGCCCCGTGTTCTGTCCCCCAGAGCCTGGCTCTGACTAGTACATCAGGAAGAATGCGTTTCGCAGATGCTGTGAGCTGTCAGCTCAAATTCAACTCATAGCACCTCGGGGTGACAGAGCAGAGCTGCCCGTGGGGTTCCCAGCCTGGTGGTACAGCAGTTAAACACTCGGAGGCTAACAAAGGGTTGGCAGCTGGAATCCCCGCTGCTCTGGGGAAGGAAGATGTGGCCGACTGCTTCAATAAAGATTCCAGAATGTTCCAGAGGCCCTAACGCTGGGGAGGAGGCCTTCATGGGAGCAGAGGGCCAGGCCCTTCCTCCACGGAGCTGCTGCACCCCAGAACCTGGGTTAGAGGCCACGCACTCAACCACTGCACCACCAACCCTCCCTAACGAAATAAAACGGGGTGTCTTCAGATACAGTCGGACTAGCGGCCACGCACTCAACCACTGCACCACCAACCCTCCCTAACGAAATAAAATGGGGTGTCTTCAGATACAGTCGGACCTTTCTCCTGAGTGTTACTAAATAAACTGCACTCTTACGGGTTTGATCACACCCCAAAATGCAGAGGCATCAGAAGCTGAATGTCCACCCTTCACAGTAAGGAAAGAGAAAAGCCAGTCCGGACAGACAGACAGACAGAGGCGCCTCTCGGGGAGCTGCCCAGCCGCGAGCCTGCATCTAAGGGCTGCACTTCCTGCTGTTTTCATTGAGATCAGAGTGAAAATTTACAGAGCCATCTGGCTTCCCATTCAACCATTCACGTTTTCCTTGACATTAAAGATGACACTCACTAGGTAACCACCGTTGCCACTTCCTTGCCACTTCCTTCCTGCGATCACACCCCAATCCAAGCTTCCCACCCTCGAGCTCTCCCCCAGGGAAGCGCTGCCCTCCCCACCTTACAAGGAACAACAAAGAACGCTCTCCTGGAATGAATGGTCCTCCTCTACAATTGTGAGCCAGGTGAGTGTTTACAAAACAAACTGGTTTTTCACTATGGTGTTCATACACATTCTGCTCGGTCACATTACACAGACTCAGTGTAACTGAACTCTTGCGTTTCCTTCTATGAATCCTTTAATCCTATCCTACCCCTTTGCACGTTTAGGGGTTTCTATTGCCTTTTACGGTTGGTTTTCAGAAGGACTGAATGCCTCTCTGGTGCTGCTATTCACTTTATGCTGTTGTTTTTAGGAGCTGTTGAGTGAGAACTGACTCACAGCTGACCCTCCAGTGGGTTTTCGGAGCCTGTAAATGGCACAGGAGGAGACCGCCCATCTTTCTCCCACAGAGCAGCGGCTACATACGAACCATGTGCTGGGTCGGCAACATAGCTCCTTAACACAAAGCTGCCAGAACTCCTTGTTCAACCTCACAGCTTCTGAGCTTCGAGCCGGCAAGGATCGACATTGGAAGACAAGTTTCGATACCATCCAGGCCTTGCTGGGCTTCTATGTTTTGACACCACCTCTGTTCTGAGCCTGAGGGTCTGGTGTGGACACCAGCATAGAAGATCCAGCCTAGCCTTCACCAGGGATGTTAGCCAGATGTGTCAGCCGTGAGTCAGAGCTCCATCCTGTCACACCACCATGGGCCTCAGATGGACCCTGCATCATGATATTCACATGCCTGCTTTGCTGTTAGAGGTATACTTATGTATCAGTATGTTATGCAGGGAAATTGTTTGCATATTGCTAATTATTTTATAGTTTAGGTATGTACATACTTGCTTGTTTAGCATTTGCTCTTATTAGGACAGCACTTGTCAGTCAGTTTGCTTTACTGGGGTAACCTATGGGTTGCTGGGATGCTGGAAGCTATCCCACCAGTACATCAAATGTCAGAAGGGTCACCCATGGTGGACAGGTTTCAGAAGAAATCCCAGATTAAGAGAAACTAGGAGAAAAAAAAAAAGAGAAACTAGGAGGCAGGAACGGCCATCCACTTCTGAAACAGGAGGCCTCTGAAAATTCCCTGAACAACAGAGGAAGACGGCAGCTATAGTATGAGAGATGAAGTCAGATTAGAAGCAACAGCTGCAAACATCCTTTAATAACTGGCAAATGGAGTGTACATCGTATGAATCTGGGCAAGTTAGCTGTTAGAAATGAGAACACAGGGGCAAACTGTCTAAAATGAAATAGTATAAATGAACACTGACATTCTAGGCATTAGTGAGACGAGACAGACTGGCACCGGCCACTTTGAATCGGACAAATACATGGTATACAATGCTGGGAATGAAAAACAGGAGGAAAGGTGTTACATCCATCATTAAAAGGCAATTTCAGTGAAACACAATGTGAATGAAACAAAGTGTGAAGCACAACATATGAATTTTGTACGCAAACCAACATAAAATAAAGTTTTCGTACAAAGGCAATTTAAAGTTTTACCCTGAAGCACAATTTTGTGACACCTGTTTACACAACTATTACTCAAATATATGCACCAACGGCCAACGCCTAAGAGGACAAAACGGAAGAATTCTATCAAATTTTGCAGCCTGAAATTGACCAAACATGCAATCTAGACGTGCTAATGATGACTGGTGACTGGAATGCAAAAGCTGGAAACACTGAATGGTAGTCAGGAAGTAGACCTGGTGACAGAACTGAGGCTGGAAAACCAAATGGTTGAGTTTTGTACGTTCAATGAATTATTCATTGAAAACATCTTTGTTAAAAACATAAATGTGACTTTACACATGGATCTCACCTACTGGACTGCAAAGGAATCAGACTGACTACATCTGTGGAAAGGATCACTGGAAAAACTCAGTAGTCAAAGCCAGGCCAAATGCTGACTACGGAAAAGGCCATCAATTACTCATGTGCAGATTCAAACTGAGGCTGAAGAAAAGGAAAACAAACCCAAGAGAACCAAAATGACCTTGAGTCTATTCCATCTTTATTTAAAAATCTGTGCAAGAATAGGTTTGATGCTCTGAACACAAATGATTCAAGACCAGATGAGCTGAGGGGTGACATTGAAGATATCATCCATAAAAAGAGAAAAAGGAGGGAGCTCTGGTGGCCTAGTGGAAAGAAGCTGCACTGCAATACCAGAGGTGCACTGTTCGAATCCACCAGATGCTCTGCTGGAGAAGGAGGGGCAATCTCCTCCTGTATCAGTCAGATCAGATTTGACAAGAGTGCAACAATGAATGAATTGAAATCCAAAATCTCTGTAAATGTTCATTAAAATTATTAAAATTTTTTAAAAGAGAGAGAGAAAAAAGGTCATTATAGAGATGGAAGAAAAAGAAAAAAACCAAAATGGATGCCAGAAGAAACTCTGAAAACTGCACTAGAACACTGAGAAGCAAAGGGAAGAAATGCTGAAGAAAAAGAGTTGAACATAAGATTTCAAAGTGCAGTTTGAGAAGACAATACAATGGAATATACACAAAGCTAGAACTGGAGAATAAAAAAGGAAAGAACTCGCCCAGCTTTTCTTAAGCTGAAAGGACTAAAGAGAAAATTCAAGCACTGAGTGGCAATTCTGTGATGTTACAGGAAAAATCTTCAATGATCCAAACAGCATCAAAAGAAGATGGAGGAGATACACAGAATCACTGTGCCAAAAAGAATTGGCTGGCATGGAAACATTTCAGGAAGTACATATGATCAAGAGCCAATGGTGAGAAAGAAATTCAAGCTACTGAGGCACTAAGAAAAATAAGGCCCCAGGAATTGATGAGAAGTCAACTGACCTGTTTCAAAGAACAGAGCCTACTCTGGAGGTGCTCACTGCTCTGTGCCAGAAAACTTGTAAAAGAACTGTTTGGCCAACTGACTGGAAGAGATCCATATTTGTTCCCATTCCCAATGAAAGGTGATCCAACAGAATGTGGATATTCTAGAACAGCATCATTAATATTGCATGCAAGCAAAATATTGCTAAAGATCACCCAAACCCAGCTAGAATAGTACAATGATACAGAACTGCTAGAAGTTCAAGCTGGATTTAGAAGAGGCCACAGCATCAAGGATATCATGGCTGAAGTCAGATGGATCCTGGCTGAATGCAGAGAACACCAGAAGAGGGTGTATGCTCTACTGACTACGCAAAGGCATTTGACTGTGTGGATCATGACAAACTATGCATAACATTGAGAAGAGTGAGAATTCCAGAACACTTTTTTTTTAATTATTTTTTTTAATGTGTGCCTGGTTGTTGTTGTTGTTGTTTAATGCCGTCGAGTTGTAGACGACTCATAGCGGACCCTATGAACGAACAGCCTGAGCACTGTTCGTACATAGAGTTTCCGGAGGCAAGCCATTTCGGAAGTGGATGCCGCTCCTGCTTCCAGGCTTGATTTAGTCGGGAAGCTCCAGCCAACACTGTCCACCATGGGTGCCCATTACCACGATTGGCACATCACTGCCACAGGCTACACATATTACATTTTTAACCTGGTACAAGAAGAGATTTCCCCCTCCTTCTCCAGCAGAGCATCTAGTGGAGGAATTTCAAACACTTAATTATGTTTGTGCAAACCTATTCCTAGAAAAAGAGAATGTTACACAAACAGAGCAGGGAGATACTACATGGTTTAAAATGAGAAAAGGTATGTGTCAGGGTTGTATCCTTTTTCTATTTCTATTCAATCTGTATGTTGTTGTGTTTGTGTTGGTGACTGCTGTC